GAGACAGTTTCATGAAAAGTGTAGTATTTTGTCATCTTTGGCAGTTAAAATAGATAATTCTGAAGTTTTCGTTTTCATCATTACACAAACCAGTTCTCATTATGCTCTCAATTTTAGCAAGCATGCAGGCTTAGTTAGGGAATGACTGATTTAAGTCTAGATAATGCCGATTTGCATTAAGGAGGGTACATAAGAGCATAGTTCTGATTTTTCTCTTAATGTGTTTCTTGGTGCCAAGAAACTCTAAAATGAAGAATTCCTCTGTTCCTGAAAGATTAGTGTTTTATTTCTAATTATGTTCAAGTCAGTTCTTTAAGACGTTCCACCTCTGTTTTCTCATCTTCTTGACCTTCACAACTCAGAGGTAGCAGAAAGCTCACTTTCTAAAGCTGCTGTTTATATATAAATATGGAACAATTACTTCTCAGTCTCCTGGTGGCTATGATTACATAGAATAGTTGCATGTTGTTATGGGGTTTGGTTGAACTTTGTCATAGCCTTTGTATCAAATGATCCCCAAGAACTGTAGACTAAACTACATTTTTTAATTTATCTGAAATTACAATAACAGTTTAAATCCTTGGATAAAATTCTTAATCTGTACCTTGGAAAGAATGACCAATAATTAATATTTGTAATTTTTAGTCATAGGGAAACTATATTTTAGTGATTGCTCTGATTTGATAATTACAAGTGAGTTGAATGGCAATAGTTAATATTAATCCTGGCTATCAAGGGAAAAAAAGAGCAGTTGAAGTAGTTTGCCTTGTGTAGTGGTTCCTGTGAGTGCTAACAGGATTCCTTTTGGGTCAAACTGAACCAGATGATGTGCCCCAGCAGCACAACTACTGTGCTTCAGTCACTGAGATGTTCAGTCCATAAGACTGACTAGAGCTAGTTTAAAATTAATCCTTCTCCTTCAAATATTCTTTGTGTGGGCATTCAGTCCTTTGCACTGTTTTAATCTGTACATTCAGTCCTACTTGGCCATGTGACTTGCTAATGTTAATATTGGCTGGAAAGCACTCTGTAATCATCTCTTTCGGTAATAAAATAAAAAGTGAAGTCTCCAAGTCCACTAACTTCAACTCGGGCAGATCCTTCTAGTCAGAGTAGTATACAGGGCAATGAAATCGGGCAGCAGTAAAAATGACAACATACAAGTCTGGGTGAAGGGAGATAGAGGCTTGGATATGAGCTATTCATTTTGTCTTCTGCAATTGAAACTGGAAGAGGGATTTAGTCTTCAAGCACTCAGAGTGGGGAGTGATGAGTGAGAAAGCAATCAACCTGGGATCAAAGCTGTGCTCACAGCATAAGCCTTTGAATAAGAACAGCACCATTTTACACTTCGTGGAGCCTGCAAACATTATCTACTTATCAGGATAGTTCTCCTTGATCACATAGATAGAATGATGTAGCAAGGAAGACCTTATTTTCATCATTTTTTGACTAATAAGTTACATGTTCTGAGTGATCGACACTCAGAAAAAATTTTCAAACATCAATCTGTTTCCAACTTTTAAGTTTTCTTTTTTCTCACTATGGCTGTACACACTTCCTTGCTACCTGATATATTAATTTCAAATAATTTTATGCAGTGATTATTATATCTGGTTCGGCTACATTATCACCTTCTACTGTCTTCATATGCTTAAGGTGATCATAAAAGATGGTTTAAAATGCCTGTTCTAAATCTTAAGTGTTCTTGTAATTTGACATGTTTAACTTAAAGCGAATAACATTAAACTGGCCATTAAACAGACTTAAAACACTAGCATGGAATGTAATTGTTTTCTAAAACTTGCGCTTGTAGTCTTTAGTTTAAAACGTGAATTTATATCGGATTAGCTAAGTCATTCAGAGATGATCCCAAATATACTATAAACCCCCAGACTGTTGAAATTTGAGTTACGTTTTAGCAAAAGTGCCCATAGAAATATAAAAGCCTCACAAGGAACATTGGTAGATTCCTCAGTGGGGAATAAAGTGGACTAAGTGGAAACAGTACTTTCTGTGTTCAGCACAATGTATGAATGAAAGTGCATTCGACACATGCAGATTATTTGAAGGTACCTATATCTAAAGGGGGGGAAAAAATGTTTTTCTGCTACTTTGAGTTGATACAAAAGCTTTCTTTGAGAGTTTGAAGCTTTGATTTTTTTTTTTAATTAACTTCTTGCTCTGGGTTGTTTGTCAGCTTTACTTGGCTTCAACATCAACTTGCCAGGACAACTGGTAACGTGTTCTTAGATTTTTATTTTCAATTAAATGCTTTGCTGCATTATTCCTTACTGTAGTTATACTAGGTAGAAGGACTTATTGCTGTAGTTAGCAGATCAGTTTCATTGTAACCTCCTGTGCAATCGTATGAAACAATCTTTTGCATTGAATTTTTCCATTCTTGGAGGCCAGGTTTTGCTTGCCTTGATCTGACAAGCATTCTTCTGCTTCTCCAGTGGCTAACTGCTCATTAGTTTTTAATACAAAAATTGAATGTGTGTGAGAAGCCCTTGGTTTTTCATGTTATGTTTATTAAATTGTTATTTTGGCTTTGAATGTTAGCATCTTTTGTATTCAAAGCATAATACAGTCCAAAGTCTTTCTATTTTAAATGTTTAGCTTATAAGTATGAGAAACAAGCAAGTTAATCACTACATATTCTACTGGCAAATTTGTTTATGGGAAATTAAGCCATAATATGATACATTTATCTAAGAAGTGTGGTGGGGTAATTTGCATTCTCTTCTGTCTGTAAATTAGGCAGCTCTTTCAAAAATATTATTATAATTTGCTAGCACTTAACACTGTTCTTTTCCAAAGTATTTTACAAATATAAACTAAACGTTACAATACACCATTAGTATAGCTCTGTTGGTGTTGTGTATTAATCCTGGGGAAACTGAGGTAGAAATGTTACGGACTTTAACCCAGGTCACTCAAGATTTAGAACATATCTCTTAACCATTAGTCTTGTGCTGAAATCATAGGATTACGTCACTGCCATATTCCCTCATATAGGATCTATCGATAGCCCATTGAAATCAGTGGGGAAAAATGCCAGATTATGTCAGCCAGTTTCACGTCTGGGTTATACTTAACATGTCAAGGCTTGCATCAGCTGCAGCCAGCTTGGATTCAGCATGAAGCATAACTGTGGAACTCTCTTGGTTGCTTTATTGGGAAACTATTATCAAATGTAGATTTATTCTCCATATTTTATGATTTAATTCTGCATAAATAAAATCAGTTGACTAAAGTGTACAAGTGAGACCACTGCTATAACAGGCTTTATAGAAATGTCATGATAACATGATGTGAACATGAATTACTCTTATGTAGGCCTGATGAAAATCCTCTTTAAAATCTTGTTCAGTCTTGCATGCTAAAAAGTGACCTTTTACCCTAGTCTAGACATGTCCTTTGCAGGCTATTTCTAGTTTATATGAAGATTGCTTGATTTAAAAGAAGCATGTTAATTTAATGCTGTCACGAATGATGGGGTTTGCAGTCTGAGAAGCTGACAGCTTCTTTGCAGAACAGAGTAAGCAAAAAGCAATGTAAGTTTCTCCAGACCCACACTGTGAATGACATCTCATCTGCTTTTTATGATACAAGTTGTGAGCTTCAGAAAATGAATTCGCCGTAACAGAGAAACTACAGAAGGTCTTGCCTTTCTTTTCCACCACAAACTGGATGAATTATGTGGATTACTTTTGAAACCTCCAGTTGTCTGGCACTGAGATTACACATCTATGTTTGGTACTGTTCTAGCCAACAGTCTGGAAACTGGTTGATGGCAACTGCTAGCTTTCATTTAAAATCACTATGTATATGTCAAAATATCAGTTTAATTAAATCCCATGTAAGTTGACTCATTGGGACATGTCCAACAGTAACTTGTACATTTCAGGCCTTGTTTTCTTCCCTGAAAAGTTTCAATCTCTTGGAATGTAATTTTCATCTCCTCACCCTTTCCACTCTCCCCCTACAACAGCTGGACTTGTTATCCTGTGTTTAAAAGATGATTGCTTATTTTCTCTAGTATGCAACCAAACTACCTTCTTGGGTAGAGTTACAACGTAGCACGAATAAGGACTGAAGTGTCAGTGCAGTATATTTGCTGTGAATCTGGGATGCTTTAGATCTCGGATGCAGTGACAGGGTATTCAGCCAGCATGTGTGCAGCATGTCTAGCCTGTTTCAGGTGTGTTATGATTATTGAACATGCATAGATCAGTTAAGCAAAGACATTTGTCTAATAAGGGCCCAGGTGCAGCCCAGTTGGAGGTACTGAATTGATTCTGACAGAATTAGCTCCTCTATAGTTTGAAATGGGCCCTTCTTCCTTTCTCTGTGTTCTCAAATGCCCTTCACCAATCAGGAATAGTGTACAAAACTAATATGGACCACTGCCTGGTGTTCAGTGATTCCCTAGTCCTGATTTCTTCTTCGCAGTAATATCTTCCTGCAGGGTAGGAAAGTAATTCATTGTGTCATGGTTTCATAGGTTACTCTGTTTGAGGAAACTGGACTAGATGAGCTATCAAGATGCCTTCCAAGCTGAGTTATTCTATGATTCTATGTCTTTGTATCTTCCTGGAAGAACAGATATGTGGTATTTAACCAATAGCCTGTTATCTGTAGCAGCCAGTAACTGCCTAGTGAAATGTGTAAGGAAGAAGAAAGTATAGCTTAATGTTGTTTTTCAGTGTCTTTTAGAAGTGATGGTTATTAAGCCAGAGATGTTAACTTTTTATTTAATGAGTGATTCTGCAATTGAGGTATCTTGCTAGGTTCTGAACCACTGTAAGCATTTGGCATATCCTCATCATGGATTGCTGTAGCAAAGTATCCACCCAGAAAGACTGTGCCTGAAAACACATTGCATTTTTTTTCCAGAAGTTCGTGTCTAGTCCTTGCGATTATATGCATATTTTCAAAAATTTTTGACTTGCGTTTGTAGTAGCTGTAATGTGACCTTTCTGAATCTCTTTCAGACGAGAGCAGAGCAATCCCAAGGTGCATACTTCTTGCCTGAGTTTGCACTTTCTCCACAGGGGAGTTTTCTTGAGGATACCACGGGGGAACAATTCCTCACTTACCGTTATGATGACCAGGTCAGTATACCATATGCAAAAATAAGAGATTGTCACATTCATGTGAAGGAGAGACAGATTACTGTGAAACAAATGAAGAAACAAAATGTGTGTTCTTTTGAAGACACATCAAATTTATAGCAAATTGAATGGTAGCACACTATAGAAAATAAAAATTAAGGCACTTAATTGTAGAAATAATAGCTCAAAACCACTTATGGAAAATATTAATAGGATGTAGTAGAGATGAAAAGAGCCATGTTTTAGTGGTGTGTTAATAGATCTTTACAGTTAGCTCTGTAAAGTGTGTAGAATTAGAGATTGTTGTCCTTTCTGTGAATTGACCAATCCTAAATTGTTTTATTTCACGGATAAATCAGTATAAGGCAGATCTTGCATTTCTCAGCTTGTGAAAAGTCAGCATCTTTTATTAGTTCAGAAAGTTTTCAGAAAGGAAGGTTGAGTGAATTATAAAGAAACAAATGCAAAGTGTAATAATGGATGAAGCAGAGTGTTTAGAAAGCAACAAATTATGTATTTTAAAGTTAAAGATCTTTAATGCTTTCTCCAGACCCATAGAAACATTATGTTAAACATGGAATATAGATATAAGTGTAAAGAAAGCAACATGAAAGAAATGCTGTTAATCTTGGCAAAAGATCTAAAGTAAACCTAGGAAATGTGTGGCATGCTGTGGAAATTTACTCATAACACAATGTGTTCCAGAAGTCAGTTGAACTTCACATCAAAACTGTCTGAATTACATTCGTAGACACTTGCAGTACATTTCTTAATGTAAGAGGAGGGAATTTGTTAGGAAACACTCCCTGTAAAAGTGAGAGAAGAGACAAACTTGCCCTAAAGTCACAAGGTATGGTTCTGTCAAGTGATTGGCAGCTTTATCGTGAAAGATGATCTGCTTGCAGGAGCTACTTAGAGAAAAATAGTTTACTCATCACTGCTCTAAAGAGAACAGAACTGAAATGAGTTTATTAAAGCTTTAGACTGCATATCCTTTCTAGGAAGACAAAAGGAATCAGAAAGGATACAACAGAAAGCATGCTGAGCTACTGAAAATTATTTGATTTTAGTTGAAATATCTTTACCAATAATTCATACTTTTGCTACCCTAGAGAGGGTCTTGATTATCAACAGAAATGGTACTTAGGTAAGATGTCTCCTGGACTAAACACCTGGAAAAGCAATAACTTACAGGACAGCAAAATGCAGCTGCAACTCAGGCTGAGTTTAATGACAGTAGTTTAAAAACTCTATAAAGATTATTCACTTTGATCAAAATAGCTTCCATTAAATGGAGAAGATAAATCAAATATGACATAGGGATACTCTGAGTCTTTGAATATACTGTTTGAATTGTGCGAATAGCATAGCTGATTAAAAAACAAAGAAAATTAATCCCCCCAAAACCCTCTCAAATACCAGCATAGCTCTGTACAGAAGCCAGTTCCAAACTCAATTCCATTTGATGGAAAGTTTTCCAGTAATTCCATTTGGATCTGAACAGGATCTGGGATATGGTCAGCTTCTTTCACGAATGTGATTCAGCTTTGAGGCGTGCTGTTTGCAGACACTTAGTGAGCAGTGTGAAATTAAGTTTGAATTCTTGGAACTCAAAGTGATGCTAAAACATCGGAATGTTGAAAATAAAAGCAACCGTATTAGTAGCAGTTTCTTTTGAAAGGAGATTGAGTCCTTAAGCGTTATTTATTAAAAAGTATAAATACATTGAATGCAGATGGGAATTGGTCTATATCTCTACCTTTCTGTGAGTAAACCAAGAATTCTTTAGTAAATAGAAAAATTATTCTCCTTAATTTTCTAAGACATTAATCATAGAAATGTAGTAATGTACAGTTATAATTTACTTATACTTTTGCTGAAATGCTCATATAAAACTCCATTTTATCATGTGATCAAACTAAGCCAGAAAACTTTAATTTTTTGGGTTTTTTTTGTTTCATTTTACTCTTTCCTATGGCATCTACTCTATGAATGGAAGGAAGTCTTAAACCAGAGGGTGAAAATCCTTCATTGGATAATTTTTTTATTTTTGTGAGCTGATATGGATAGGCTTGATATGTGGTAGTTGTGATAAGGATATGCAGATGAACAAAGAGAAAAATGTTTATATATTGAAAGGCCATTTTTAGTTACCTAACGTATCTGACATGGAAATGGAATCAGTACAAGAAGGTTGTCACATAATAAAAGAAAAATAAAATGCATTAACATCTTCTCACATATCTTAATTCAGTTTCAACAATTCACTTTCTGTCCTGCCCCACTGCAAAGGGATGCTGGCCTGCTGGAAATACATTCCTTCCTTTTCCCTTAACACCAGAATTGTCCTATGGGCATCCCTACAGAGTCCTGGTGTTCCTGTACATCCTAAGTTAAATTAATTTAGTTGAAAACTGGAAAAGTGAAATAACCTTGTGCACTTGACCCCAACAAAACAAGAGGCCAGTCTTACCCGATCTATTGTGAAGATCATACCTCCATCTGTGTTCATGGAAGGGTGCAGAATAGATAAAAGGGATGAGAGGCTCCCAAAACTGTGGCATGGGGTGGGAGAAGAAGGTGGGTCACAACCTGTGTTCTTTTGGCTAGTCAACAAGATGTTGAGACCCCTGCAGGGAAAGTGATCCTTTTGTCTCTTCCCAAGGGTGCCCTTTCTCCTTTGCACTGTTCCTTGTATCTAGGACAATAAAATTTCCAGTTTGTTGGGACAGATGAATATTATTTTTATGTAGCATCATCATCGTCGTCATGATCCAAGATTAGCTTCCTTACATCCTCCAAACAGAAGAATGTTTCAAAGGGGTTTTCTTTGGCTGTTGTGTGTGGTATTTTTCAAGCAGGGAGCCAGTTTAATCGGGATCATTCATTCCTTTGTTAGTAAGTAATCTCAGTAAAATAGAACTAGCTGTTACTTAAATATTCAAAAGTATTTGCTATCTAAAAAGACTAACTTACAGTTTGAAATGGAAGATGAGTAAATATTAATAGGAACACACTGTACTCTGTTCTAGCCCAGCAAAATTGCATATGGATTCATGTTGTACATGCAAGATAGTACATTTTGTTCTGGTTTAATCTGGCAGGACTGCTCTCATTTTTTGTACAGGATTGCGCTAACCCCTTTGCATATTCAGTGGCTACGTGTGTACTGAAGAATTACATGCAGATGAAATTCTTTGGCTAGATATTTTCAAAATTCAGTGAATATATCCTTTTTACCATTTCTATGACTATAGAACAAAATACCTTATAGGACTTGACTAGATACTGCCACCTTTACTTGCTGAGTTGACATCGGGACAGAATGGTACATTATAGTTTTGACACATTTACTGCTTTATCTTCAGGAAAAAAGGAAAACAGTGATTCAAAGCAAATACTATGGAGGACTTCCAAAGAAGAGAAACATAGAAATGTTTGCATTGAGCATTTTCTTATAGCTCCTGCATTGTTCAGCAAGCTGTGTCTTGCATCAGTGTGTTGCATACTGCATTTCTAAAATTCTAAGTCAATGTAATTTAAATCTAATCTAGTACCAAACAGATTTTGATGCGTAGCCAGAGACTTCGCTTGCCATTAGAAATTTGAGACTGAAAAAATATGCCCCTCTCCTATCATTCTTGAATGAGTTTTAAAATAAATATATAAGTAATAGCCCTTTCTCTGACTTTGAGATACGAGCTGAACCTTGCCATAAGGAATAATTTCCTAGTTTTCTTTCTGATTTCTTTTGGCTTTTCACCTTTTAATCTACTACAAGGAATTTTTCTCTTTTCCAGAATACTAGAAGTACTGGAAAGCTTTCTTGCAGAAATAAAATGTTCTTGTTTTCTGACACTTAAGGTATTGCTTCCAAGTATTAAAACCATTCCATATGACGGACCACCAACAAGGACAGTGGTGAAAACTTGGTTGGGCTGAATGCTTGAAGTACCTTTCCACTTTGATTGGCTGGCTGAAAGAGACAGGGGGTGGGGAGGAGGAAAGAAAAAAAAAATTATCTTTTAAGTAAGAAAATGTTTGCTTGACCAGTTAGCTTTCTGACCTTGTTCCTCCTAAGTTTTATGATATTTGCAGATTTAAACTCATAACAAGGAAGTCCTGATTCTGGAATTAGACATACGGCACTAAGTAGCCCAATATTGGCAAAGAAACATAGTGTTTCTAAACACTTTTTTTTTTTAAAAAAATGCAGTCAGGAAGAATGGTAAATATTGGCATCTTGAAACCACCCAGCAAGAAATTCAAATAATGAAAATCTATGCTTTCAGACTTTTGAGTGTTTAGCTATGCAAGGTAAGGTAGAAACCAGTGAGTTGGTTTTCAACTAGATGTGCAAATTGTAATATATAGGCTGAGGCTGGTATAATTCTTTTAATAAGTAGCCTTTCTTTGGATTTGCCAGAAAAGTCTGCTATAAAGTGAATGCCAAAATTGGAAGAGTAAATATTCTGATATGTGTTCTATGACCTTCAGAAAGATAAATACTCTGGCTTGGTTTCTGCTTTTTCTGGGAGGGAAGAAGGGCGGTATTTAAAAGCTTAATTTTAAAAAAGCCAGTGGAACTCAGGATCTAGATGACTTCAGAAATTAAGGTAGAAATACTGATGGAGCCTGTTATTCCACCTTTTTATTTGTAGTCAACCAGCAGTAAATGTGTGTTCTGTAAGTTTTTCAAATAGTATAAAGTAAACTGTTATGTGGACACAAGTGTCTTATGGATCCAGCCGGGCTGACAGCCGTTTTCCCCCAATTACTCACCTGCTTTCCCCATTCCCCCTGCTGATGATGGCCATCCTCCCTGGCCTGCCCAAGCAACAGATGTGAGGCACTGCCTGGTTTTGAATATCAGCTGCTTGCTGGCTTCTTGTAGTCTGAGCCCTTTTATTCCATTGCCAGCTGGTTTGCATGTAATTCACCAGTGAAATGGAACTAGAAATTGTTGGGCTTGGAGACGAGTCATGTAAGGGACAAACTTA